CTAACAATAGGAACATTGTGCATTACTGAAACACTTATTAAAGAAAATAAAACTTCCCATTTTCTCATTTGTTACCCAAAGTTACCAAACATCTTTAGAGAAGTTAAGTTGCTGTTGTAGCTAGTTTGTTATTGGGTCAGTTACTTTCCCATGGACTCAGCAGAAGTTCCAACTTGCTTTTGCCATTGACCAGGAAAAGTTACAAAAGTCTCGACTTTCATGAATCAGAACTGGTCTGGCTAGAATCAGCCTGCTCTGTAATAGAAGAGACTGTGGTTTGGCCCATTTCCCAGGTGGGGAACCTCTGCTAGGTCTGGCAGACATGGAGACAGAGGGATAGCATTCTGACCCACCGCATGTCCCCACATTCTCCTGATAAAGCAAGTCACCACTGCTTGTCATAACCCACATATTGGGGAGAGGCGCACTGCAGTTCTTATCATCCTCAGCTAAACCCCAGGATAGACAGGAGGAAGGTAGTTGCCAGTTCCTGAGCCCAACAGCTGTTTGAGGTGAGGACTGAGGACCATCCTCCTTCACTCTAAACTTCCCCAACTGTGTATTTCTGGCTAAGGTGAAATACTATATTTTTCTCTTTTCAAATTATGAATGAGTTTGTTTATTTTGAAGGGAGTTGATGGAACAATCAGGGAAAATGTTTCTTTTTCTTTTTTCTGAGATGGAGTCTTGCTCTGTCACCCAGTCGGGAGTGCCGTGGTGTGATTACAGCTCAGTGCAGCCTTGACATTTGAAGTTCAAGTGATCCTCCCATCTCAACCTCCTGAGCAGCTGGGACCACAATTGCATGCCACCATGCCTGGCTAATTTCTTTTTTATTTTTTATAGAGACAGGGTCTCCCTATGTTGCCCAGGCTGGTCTCCAACTACTGGGCTCAAGCAATCCTCTGTCCTTGGCCACCCAAAGTGTTGGGATTACAGGCTGAGCCACCATGCCTGGCTGAAAATATTTCTTTCTTTTTCTTTTTTTTTTTTTTGAGACAGAGTCTTGCTCTGTTGCCAGGCTGGAGTGCAGTGGCGCAATCTCGGCTCACTGTAACCTCCACCTCCTGGGTTCAAGCGATTCTTCTGCCTTAGCCTCCAGAGTAGCTGGGACCACAGGCGTGTGCCACCACGCCCGGCTAATTTTTGTAGTTTTAGTAGATACGGGGTTTCACCATGGCCAGGATGGTCTGGATCTCTTGACCTCGTGATCTGCCCACCTCGGCCTCCCAAAGTGTTGGGATTACAGGCGTGAGCCACCGCACCCGACCCCTGAAAATATTTCTAACATGACAAACGTTGCTGGGTTTGCACTGCATAAGAAATGATGATGGCCAGGAGTGGTGGCTCACGCCTGTAATCCAAGCACTTTGGAGGCCAAGGCAGGTGGATCACCTGAGGTCGGGAGTTCAGGACCAGCCTGACCAACATGGTGAAACCCCGTCTTAAAATAAATAAATAAATAAATAAAAGAAATGATGCTGCAAATTGGGAACAGCCTCTTGTGATTATAAAATTCTTTCAAAGATCTTGCCTCCTCCCCTTCTTACATAGCGTGTTGCAGAAAAAGGCATTGGTATCTTTACTGAACATTTGAGAAAACTGGGGCTCAAAGAAAGTCAAGTGACCACCCACAATTGCCCAAGGAGATCTGGCAGGGTGAGCTCCCATCCAGCCCACCTCTGACCACGTGGCTTGGCTCATGACGAAGAGTGCTTTGGCTTTTTTGTTTTTTCAAGAGTTGCCCTGATGCTGGATTCTCTTTTCTACTAATTAAGAAAAGCAAGAGAAAGGAAAAAAACAGTACAAAAGAAAGAAAATCCTTACAAGGGAAGGCAAGTCTCAACGTGCCAGTCACGAGCGCTTCTGGCATACGTCTGTTTCCTTGTCCTTTGGACCTCCTGATCCTGAGCCCCAGCTTGGTTAAGACAATTACCCAGTAATGGGATTGCTGGGTCAAATGGAATTTCTATTTCTAGGTCCTTGAGGAATTGCCACACTGTCTTCCACAATGGTTGAACTAATTTACACTCCCACCAACAGTGTAAAAGTGTTCCTATTTCTCCACATCCTCTCCAGCATCTGTTGCCTCCGGATTTTTTAACGATTGCCATTCTAACTGGCGTGAGATGGTATCTCAATGTAGTTTTGATTTGCATTTCTCTGATGACTGGGGAGAGATAGCAAGGGGAGAGATGCCAGATGTAGGTGATGGGGAGGAAGGCAGCAAATCACACTGCCATGTGTGTACCTATGCAACAATCTTGCATGTTCTTCACATGTACCCCAAAACCTAAAATGCAATAAAATAAATAAATGGGGGGAAAAAAAGACAATTACCCGACTTATTTCTTCCTGATTCCTCTCTCCCTGTTTTTGCCTAAAAGAGCCACTTACAAAAGTAATTCGAGTTTCTATGAAAGAGAATTTGAAAGGCTGTTTTCAGTTTATGCTCAGAAGACAATATGAGAGTTTGCCAATGATTGGATCATCTGAAAGTTAGTTCTTTCCAAATTTTCAAACATTCAAATATGGCTAAGAAGAACACCAATGTTCTCAGCACAGAGATTTAAATGTGCAGAGCAATGGTAGCCCAGCTTCATTCTCATTCCTCACACTACTTTTAACCAACACTTGGGTGCATCACGCTGTGTGCTGAAGTGAATTTCTCTGCTACAGAGAGATGAATTTCGTGATGTCTCAAGAAAAGCCAGAAGCCGCAGCTGGCTCAGCTTTCTACGCTCTCCTGCGGCAGAACTGGCCCCGGCTCCCCAGCCCTGCTTAGGCCACACGGAAAATACTGGACAGGATTTAGAGGGTTGTGGGGCATTTGAACTATTCATTATGCATTTTTTACATTATGCTGTTAAAATTAGAAATATAAAATACAAAGTACTGTATGTTAGATATTTAATATTAAGTTTATATTAAACTTCCAGATAACATTTTTCAATGTTTATAATTACTTATTTAGCTCATAGATATGAGCATACCTTTTTATATTGGGGTGGGTTTTTTTTGTTTGAACTAGTCACCATCAGGTCCTGATCAAGACTTTAATGATGATTTCTTCAAATTCTTGCTACTTACCATCAATAAGAAACTGTTTCTACAAGCAGGTGATAAAATTTTTGTTTGTTTTTTAATGACCATTAAAAAATTTTCAACAGTATAAGTTATCTTTATAAGAGCTACAGCTCTTTTCTTTTACTAATAAAATGTAATGGTGGCATTTTACAGATTCCTTTCAACCCCTCAGAACTTTTTCTTTTTAGTTTATTTTTTTAGAGACATAGTCTCACTCTGTCACCCAGGCTAATGTGTAGTGTCACACTCACAGCTCATTGTAACCTCAAACTCCTGGGCTCAAGTGATCCTCCTGCCTCAGCCTCCAGAGTAGCTAGAACTATTAAGCACACACAATTATTTCTGGCTAATATTATTCTTGTAGAGATAGGGTCTCACTATGTTGCCCAAGCTGGTGTTGAACTCCTGGACACAAGCAGTCCTCCTGCCCTGGCCTCCTGGTGTTGGGATTACAGGTGTGAATCCCCACATCCAGCCAGAATATTTCATATGGAGCATTTCACAGTAACAGAGGAGCTGGCTCACCGTGGAGATTGGGTGCCTGGGTGGGCAGCTGGGACCAGAACCTGGGGGAGAGCCACACCATTGGACCCCATATAGATTCTGATTCGCAAAGACTGTGGGAGGCCTGGGCGAGGCTGCTCACTGGTGGGGAGTAAGCAGGCCTGAAGATGCTAGCGGCTCTGGGCCTGCTCAGCTGTCCTGAAGGCTGGGGAGTCAACAACTCAACTGAATACATCAGTCTACTGCCCTTACTAGCAGAGTAAGTTGGTTGCTTCCTGCCTCAGTCTGCCCATCTGTGAAGTGGAGATAATAGTGGTACCTATCTGGTAGGGTTGTTATGAAAGTTAAATGAGTGCCATGCCTGGCACAGAGTAAGTGATATATGTTTATTAAATTAAGTAAAAAGGTTGAGAAGCTCTGGAGTAGACCACTAACATGGTTTGGATCTGTGTCCTCACCCAAATTTCTAGTTCAATTGTAATCTCCAGTGTTGAAGGTGGGGTCTGGCAGGAGGTGACTGGACCATGGGGGTGGATTTCTCATGAATTAGCATCAGCCCTTTGATGCTGTTCTCATGATAGTGAGTTTTCACGAGATCTGGTTGTTGAAAAGTGTGTAGCACCTCCCCCCTCCCTCTTGCTGCTGCTCCTGCATGTGACACATCTGCTCCCCTTTTGCCTTCTGCCTTGATGGGAAGCTTCCTGAGGCCTCCCTAGAAGCCAAGCAGATGCCAGCACCATGCTTCCTGTACAACCTGCACAATTGTGAGCCAATTAAACTTCTTTATAAATTACCCAGTTCCAAGTATTTCTTTATAGCAATGCAAGAATGGACTAATATGACCCCCAAATCGCATGCATAGAACCAGCCAGAATCAGATGTTCTAAATTCTGGCTCCTCCACTGTTTAGATGTGGGCCACAAGCAGGTTATTCAATTTCTCTAAGCCTGGATTTCTTGGCTCATACATGACCATGGCATTTGTACCCATGTTATAATGGCATACAGATTAAATAGGATGGTTCACATAAAGTGCCCGAAACATAACAAGTACTGTACAAACGATGGCCATTACGAAGTGGCAGAGCCAGGACGTGAGCTCAGCTGTGCCCTGCCCCACTGCCCACACCTACCTCCTGTGAGCTACGTCTACCAAATAGAAAAGTGCTTCACCTGCCAGATTCCCTTCTGCAGCTGATTTAAAATCTTTCCACTTAGACTGATTTTTCAACCCTTTAATAATTTTTGTTCCTTATCTACGGACCCTGGGGTGGTTCTTCCTTATCTCTAGAAAGCAATGCCAAGAATGGTCAGAGAATTTGCCCAAGGGCCAGGCATTAAGCGAATTCCTTTGCAACCGCAAGGCCGCTGACTGCTGTCTTTCAAGGCTCAAGTAAGTTCAACATACCCTTCCTTATTCATATTTTATTAGGAAGTCATATCAGAAAATTAATCAGTTATGAAACTTTAAACATGAAATGAATCATTCTTATCAAATACATCAAGACCAGAAGCCAAGTCAAATATGGCATTTCATTTCACAAATATTTTTACATTTAATAGTCATGAAAAAGAAAATAATTTAAAAACAACTCTGTACAAATGTTAATATCAAGGAACAGCTGAAGCTTAATTTTAAGATATGCAAATAAGTGAAATGAAATAAGTAATGTTTTATTAAAATATAATATCCTTGTCTTTTTCCACCATATACACATTTTTTTTCTCTTTAAATAAATATATATTATGTATTTTAATAATAGCTTAGTTGACAACATTCATCTGGTGCTTTGGGGTCATGGAGTTTTACTTGGCAAGGAACACAAATACCGAAAACATCAGGTCCAATTGGATTCTCCTATAGCAGAAGAATTGGCTTTATTTTTAGAATGTCTCCTCTCATCTCTCCTCACATCAGGACTTCTGAGCTTTCTGAGGAGTCGTCGGCAAACAATAGTTCATCAGGCAGCGAGTTCCCCAAGGGCAGCGTGCTTGAATGGGACCAGGAGACCCCATTCCTTACAAGTCTCTCCCCTGGAAAAACACTGCTCTTTTCAGCTGTGACTGCAGCAGAGGGGGCAGAAGTCAGATCTTCCCACTCCTCACTGCCTCCATTCAGGATGTACCGTTCTTCATGAGGTTTGCTGTCGTGAATTTCTGCTGTGACCACGCTGATGGCAGCGTGGGGAGTGCAGGAGGCAATTATAGAGTCAGGGTCAATGTTCAAGTCCAGCGGAGCAAGCGCAGAGCCCTCAGCCAGGCCCTCAGAGCTCTCCAGCCACTGTGTGTTGATGTAAATGACATCTGCTTGGTCTCGAACACTGGGTAAACTTTCTAAGAGCTTTTCCAGCTGCAGCCTCAACATTGAAAAGGTGGGGCGATCCAAGGGATCTGCTCTCCAGCAAGAGTACATTATTTCATATCTGAAAGTTAAAAAGAAGTGGATTAGGCCGGGTGTGGTGGCTCAAGCCTGTAATCCCAGCACTTTGGGAGGCCGAGGCGGGTGGATCACGAGGTCAAGAGATCGAGACCAACCTGGTCAACATGGTGAAACCCCGTCTCTACTAAAAATACAAAAAATTAGCTGGGCATGGTGGCGCAGTGCCTGTAATCCCAGCGACTCAGGAGGCTGAGGCAGGAGAATTGCCTGAACCTAGGAGGCGGAGGTTGCGGTGAGCCGAGATCGCGCCATTGCACTCCAGCCTGGGTAACAAGAGTGAAACTCTGTCTCAAAAAAAAAAAAAAAAAAAAGAAGTGGATTATCTCCCAGCATAGCACCCATCTCTTTGTGCAATCCATGCCTTTGCTTTTATAGAATCTTTATCACGTTTTAATCAGCATTCATTCTACTTTTTATTAAAATTATTGAGACGTTTTTGGCGGCCTAATATTTATACAACTTTTGTAAATGTTCCATGGAAAGTGATTCTGTTTCTAGGAAAAGAGCACATATGTGGCAATTATATCTAATTTTGCAGATAAGGAGTATTTAGGTCTGTTACTTTATAGTGGCTGACAAACTATGGCCCACGGGCCAATCCTGGCCCACTATCTGCTTTGTAAATAAAGTTTTATTGGAACACAGTTATCCTTATTTGTTTACACAGTTAATGTCTTCTTATATCACAATGGCAGAGTTCAGCGGGTAGTAAAAGGCCTGCAAAGCCAAAAATATTTGCTATTTGGCACTTTATAGGAAAAGTTTGCTGACCTCTATCCTATGCCATCAAACTGGGTTGTTACCAGGACAACTGAGTTAGCTGGGGCCCTGGGGCCCTGGGGCTAGGGCTAAGAAGGCCAGGAGCAGGGCTTAGGGCAGAGGGTAGTTGTGTACTGTGTATCACTTCATCTAGTCTTCTCAATAGCCCTGTCATTGTCACTTGTAATGAAGATGACAGTGGGCTCAGGGACATTACAGAACATGCCATGGCCACATGGGTAGCCAGGAATTCAGATTCAGATTGGACAACTCCTGCATCCAAGTGCTCCTCATGACCCCTTCCACTTTGCTTCATAGAGGACAGCTCACTTCTGGGTGTTTTTTTCATCCCAGTGTCTCACATAGTTAAGAATTCCAATGGAGGGACATTTAATGAAGCACAGTAAGACAGATGACAATTAGGAGTCAATAGGCTGAGATAAAGAGTGAGTTATATCATCATTTCATTAAACATGGTTTTTTTTTCTTATAATTGATTGATTTGACATTTCAGGGCCAGGCATATTAATTGGCATACACACACACACACACACACACACACACACACACATACACGTACACATATACACATATATATGCATATATATATATTTAAATATATGTATATATTTTTTGAGACAGAGTCTCACTCTGTCACCCAGGCTGGAGTACAATGGTGTACTCTTGGCTCACCGCAACCTCTGCCTCCTGGGTTCAAGCGATTCTCCTGCCTCAGCTTCCCAAGTAGCTGGGATTACAGGTGTGCACCACCACACGTGGCTAATTTTTGTATTTTTAAGCAGAGACGGGGTTTTGCCATGTTTGTCAGCCTGGTCTCAAACCCCTGACCTCATGATCTGCCCGCCTCAGCCTCCCAAAGTGCTAGGATTACAGGCGTGAGCCAATGTGCCCAGCTATGTATTTTTTTTTTTTTAAATAAGATGAAGTCTTGCTATGTTGCCCAGGCTGGTTGAGAACCCCTGAACTCCTGGACTCAAGTGATCGTCTGCCTCAGCCTCCAGAGTAGCTGGAATTACAGGTGTACACCAGCACACCTAGGCATCATTTCATTTTGATTCTTTTCTGTTTTGAGAGACTGATATTCATATGTCATTGGATAAAAAAAGACCCAAATTTAAATCATCTGACCCATACAATAAGTTACTGGCATCTTATAAACAGAAATATGCAATTTCCATACTTACATTTAGTTACAGCCTACAGAACCTTTGGCTAATTCTACTAACAAGGTACTTCATACACAACATGCAGATCTCATTCATGTAGATGTATAATAATATCTTTTCATCTGTCCACTTTCCAGCCTTTATAAACACTTGCACATGCATCTGGAAGGTGGAGGCTGGTAAAGTGCCATGCGTATAAAGAACCTGATCCTGAACATAAGACACCTAGACAATGGCATGGCACATTTCCGTGTCTCACAATTCTGCCTCTCATCTCAGGCTTACAGGGTTTTTGTTTCCCTGTTTTATCTTCTTTAGATGGTCACTTAGACTTGGCAGACAGTTTCTGTTTTTATTTTTGAGGTTTTCATGGCGTAAATCAATTTGCATGACTCTGTTTTCCACAGAGCCTTGATTGTTTGCATCTGAGATGAGCTTTGAGCCATTCTGTTCTTAGGGACATAGTCTCCTTTTCATTACTTCAGCAAGAGGCTGTGGTATTTAGCTTACTTTCATTTATTTCATGTCTTAGGGGAAAATGTTTAAATAATTTATCTTTATTTCCAACTAGAATAGTAGCAATGTCATTTTAAAACTCTTTTTCCTCTTATATTCAATACCTTATCAAATGTATAAAATATAAATGTGACTTTTAAAGACATGGTAAACATGTAAACTGTCTAACCTACTCCCACAAATGGACAATTTCATAGTAGTAGACCAAGGAGATCAACAAGAAGCCCCCACCTGGTAAATAATAGGAAGGCTGTGATAAATTTAAATTTTATAAAATATTATAGATGGAAAGAAAAATAAGTTTGGTAACTGGCTTTGTAAATGATCATTTTTATTCTTCTGTTGAGATTTTATGAAAGGTGTAACCATAAAGGTTGCCAGGGGCTGTGGGGAGGAGAGAATGGGATTAGTTTAATGGTTAGAGAGTTTCAGTTTTACAAGATAAGATGAGTTTTGGAGACAGATGGTGGTGATGATCATACAACAGTGTGAATGTACTTCACGCCATTGAGCTATGCACACTGGTTAAGGGAGTATGTTTTATGTTACGTATATTTTATCACAATTAAATACAAGCCCAGGCACGGTGACTCAGACCTGTAATCCCAGCACTTTGGGAGGCCGAGGCGGGTGGATCACCTGAGGTCAGGAGTTCAAGACCAGCCTGGCCAACATGGTGAAACCCTGTCTCTAAAAAATAAATAAATAAACAAACAAACAAATAAATAAATAAATACAATCATATACATTTACAAAATTTGTAAACTTATGACTTTACTCATATTTTCAAGCTCTGAGGATGGCCGAGTGCAGGGCTGCAAGTCTTCACAGGGAAATGATGCCTGTCTCCTATCCGCTGTGCTTCCACTGTGCTAGCCGGCATCTAGCCAGCTCTGCCACTCAGCCCACTGTGGCTCCCATGTTGTCCCTTTTCCAGATCTTGGATACCTCTGGTGGCAGTGGAGATATCAATGGGTAGAGGAGGGTTTCTGAGATGGAGAAAGTGGGTGTAAGTTGGGGTCCTTGGGGCAGACAAGCAGCAGGCAAGAGGCAGGCTGGCACTGTGCCAGCCAACACGCCAGGTCTTGGGTGCCAGGATGAATAAGGGTGTGAGGGCAATGCTAGGCTGATCAGGTGTGTGAAGCGCGACGGTGGTGCTGGGATGGGCATCAGGTGAGTCCCGGAGAGGAGCCCCTGAGTCCACACAACCGCAGCTTCAAGGTGGCTGATGCAGGTAGAACGTGACTAGCAAGTGCCAGCTGTGTGTGGCCTGATGGGCCCTAACTGTTTACTCCTCACTGCAGCCCCAAGAAGAAAGAGATGCAGTTCCACTCACAGACAGGGCAGCTGAGGCCTGGAGAGGAGAGGGACTGACTGAAGTCACACTAACAGTCAGTGGCAGTGCCAGTCCATATGACACAGGTGCCCTGCTCTCATCTGTGACCTCTCCGTCACTAAGAAGAGTTACTGACCTTTCCCTCATGTTTACTATTTCAGCCATCATGTGAAACACTTTAGATTTGCTTCTTTGGTTTTTGTTGTTTTTTTTGAGACAGGATCTTGCTCTGTTGCCCAGGCTGGAGTATGGTGGCATGATCATAGCTCACTGCAGCCTTGACCCCCTAGGCTCAAATGATCCTCCCACCTCAGCCTCCTGAGTAGCTGGGACTACAGGCATGCCCCACAACACCCAGCTATTTTTTTTTTTACAGAGATTGGGGTCTCACTATGTTACCCAGGCTGATTTCAAATTCCTAGCCTCAAATTCTCCTGCCTTGGCCTCACAAAGTGGCATGAGCCACTGCACTCAGCCTGGGTTCATTTTTCAAAGGAAACGTCTCAGAAATGGGAACAGAGGCCTCTTTGGGGAAGGCTGTTGTTACCCAGCATCTAGATTCGAGAGGAGACAGGGAAGAAAGCTGGGCTCACGAGGGCCCCATGGCCACAGCACAGCTGTAGCCGTCTTAGCACACCCAGTGCACAGAGCACACAGGAGGCGGGGGTGGCAGGTTCACCCCTTTTCTGCCTGACTTCCCCAGCCACATGGCATGTGCTGACTCTGCTGCTTTGTCCCCTAAAATGCCTCACAGAAAACCGACTCAGCATTCCTTTGTTTCGGCTCTAAAAAACCACGGTGTGACACAGCTTAGACCTTGCTAAGACCCAACAGACCCAACTTAATCACCACAAATGTCAACTTTTTTTGGCGTGTGACGAAAGCTAAGAATGAAACTGCAACAAAACTCTTTCCATGGTCAACACTGTTTGACTGAAATGCTTCCTTATTTTCAGAAGCAGGCACTTCATAAACATGGCACTTTTTAAAACTACCATGAAACCCTAGAACTAATTTTATTAGCATTTCAGGATGTTTTAAAGGATTTAAAGTGCCTGTTTCTCTTCTTAATGTTATACATCTACAACCACAATAAGAACCATCAACCACTGCCAATGGGACGGGACTTTGATTACAACAGTTGCCTTCTTTTTGGCTTAGAAGGGACCTGGGAGGCCTGCAGGCAAATGGACCCAGGCTCTCTCTCCCATGTGAGGCGCAGGACGTGTGGGTGTGTGAGTGTGTGTGTGTGTGTGTGTGTGTGTGTGTGTAGGGAGGGTGCTGCCCACATTTACCTGTGCCAGCCTGGCCATGGCACTCCATGACAGAGCCAGTGCAGGCCCATGGTCCTGAAATGTTCTCGCTAAATATGGTAAGAATGGCCATTTCCAAGCCCATGGCCCTTATTGTACAGGGAGGAGACTCCCCATTAGGAAGGTACAAATCACCATCACCGAGCTACCAGCAGTGCCACAAGAAATTATTTTAATAAGGTCAGCAAAGTGCTTGGGGGAGATTAATTGCCATGGCCACTCACATGACGAGTTAGGAGGTAGAGCCTGGCCTATTGCCTCCAAGGCCTAGGTCTCTTCCCCATACTGCCTGGCCATGAAGACGGGGCCTTGCAGGATGGGATGTGTGTGCTGTGTGTGTGTGTCACAGCTGATATTTCTTTCTCCTGACACATGATCTCTCAGGGAACATTTTATTTTATTATTTTTTAATGAACACAGGGTCTCACTATGTTGCCCAGGCTGGTCTTGAACTCCTGGGCTCAAACAGTCCTCGCTTTTTGGCCTTCCAAAGTGCTGGGATAACAGGCATGAGCCACTGGCATGCACCCAGCCCCAGGGAGTACTCTGAAACACAATTCTGGGCCCACTTTGTACCAAAGGCATCATAATTTCCAGGAACAGGGGCAAGGAATTGAACTGTTAGACTATCTGATGAGCAGCCTGATCTGAAAGTCACTGGTTTTGATTTCTGAGTCTCCTGATGAAGGGTACTACTGTGAGTGGAGTATATGAAATGCCATATAAAAGAGAAGGATAACTGGACCCAAAGAAGGCAAGGGAATCATCCAAACATCTTATGCACTATAAGGCAAACCTGTTTATCTGTGGATACATTTCCTAGAGGTGTGTCAGGAATTTTAGGACAGGTGCCATTGCCTTGTCTTGACAGTGCCTGTCCTTCGAGGCTGAGGCCCTTTGGATGAGTGAGGCTCAGTGGGTTCACTGGAGACACCACACACTATCTCCCACATCAGGAATGGCTCTTGACCTGGGGTGTCTGCGGGTGACACCCTTTGCACATGCCCACCCGGCTTACAGCAGTCCCCTTCCCCTCCCACAGCTGTGTTTCCCAGGTCACTGCAGAGCCAAGTGGCTGCCCTATGCAGAATATGGAAGCGACACAGAGAGGCCCACTCACAGTTCATCCAGGCAGTCCTCGGGTTGCTTCAGCCTGTGGCCATGGAGAAGGTAGTCATACATCTCATGGTTCTGGACCCCGGGATAGGGAGTCATTCCACGCGTAGCTATTTCCCACATGGTCACACCAAATGCCCACTGGGAACAAAGGAACAAGTTAGGATGCAAGCCTTTCCACCAAGCCTGAATGGACTTTTTCACTGGGAAAGGTCATTTCCTTAAACACTGATGATTGCACACAAAGCTGGCAATTATGTGTGAGACACACTACCCTCTCCCAATGCCGCAGTAACGTGGGGTTGGAGTGTCACAGTTCCCCACTTCCACAAAAGCTGTTCTGGGAAATTTGACAGAGGCAGAACCAGCCTTGTCACACATCTGCTTAATGCTCTCCTCCACTGTTGTGAGGTTACTTCTTTTCCTAATCTCGGGTCAAGGGCATGATTACACAGCACCTTTCATATAGCATCTAGGTTCCAAGAGCCACTGGATGAACTCATTCAATTTAATGTGACTATGAAATATCCTAGTTGTGGGCAATGACTCATCCTTTGATAGCAAGGAAAAATGGGAAGAAATTAAAGGCCTTTGCAAAGCACATGTCTTCTGAATGTCGGGATGCTTCACATCTACCGTTCCACCTGAATTAAAGTATCTGGTAAGAAATAAAAGAGAAGGCCGGGCGCGGTGGCTCAAGCCTGTAATCCCAGCACTTTGGGAGGCCGAGGCGGGTGGATCACAAGGTCAAGAGATCGAGACCATCCTGGTCAACA